TGTGTGTGTGTGTATCTCCTTTAGGTGTGTATGTTTACATGTCTCCTTTAGGTGTTTTTCTGCCTTTTTGTCACCATGATACTCACAGTGGACAATGGTGGACAATGGCACTACTATACAGAGTCTGAGCACATTCCGTTCTTGGGGGGTAATCACCTTTCTCCTTTTCCCCTTAGCTTTTCCCACACTACCGGAGGAAGCTGTCTTGCTTGAGGCTGCCCATCGCTATAGAGTTTGCAGATTCCAAGAGAGAAATTCCTTCCTGTGAATCCCCAAAAGCCATAGGAGAAAGGAATAGAATCTAAATAAAAATACGAGGGGGTGGGGGGTTGTTTTTCTTTAATGAATGAGGATTCACTGGGCAAAATCTGACCAGAAACTCAATCCCTATTTTCTGGAGAAAACATTTTTACACCTTTTACAGTGCTTTTCAATTTATGTAATATGTTATCTGATCCTCACCAACAATCCCCAGGAAAAGGCTGTTTTCATAATCTTCTTTTACAGGGGTCCACAGACATGGTGCTAACAAGAGGGGTCACTGGGGTTAAACGTCTCATTTCCCCCCAACCTGCCTAGAGGGGGCAGAGTTAGGTGGCTTGTAAACTGGATCTGATGTACGCTGGATAGATCGGAAAAGACCAATTGATTCCTGGTAATTCTCCATGAAGGTGTTGCTCCGCGTGATCACCACCAGCTCGACTGGGGCCTTTCTTTCTCTCACAATGAGCGCTTCCTTTAGTCTGAATTAGCGCTGCCAGGTGTAGGCCCAGGAAAGCCAAGGATACATGCATGCTTGTCTCCAAACATTTTCTTCTTTTTAAAAAAATTTTTTTAAATAATCATTTTATGAGGGGCTCAGACAACTCATCACGATCCGTACAGACGTCATCTGTGTCCAGCACATTAGTCCATATGTGGACTTCATCATTCTCACAACACCCGCTTTCCACGTGAGCCCCTGGTGTCATCTCCTTGATGTGACTCAAATCTGTTGGCACATTTTGAAACTTTGATTTCTAGTCACCTAAAAGAAGTTCCATAGTCTCTAGAGAACAGAACTTGTCGCTTTAAAAGCTACCTTTCCTAAAGGCACTCAGACACACATTCCATTAGAAGTAAGACTTATTGCAGGTGCATCATAAAATCTTCAATGCATGCTCTCTGATTCTAGGTTTGAAACAGATTCATCAACCTCCGGTCTAGGGATTTGCCTGCAAGGGGAATCCATGTGGAGAATATTTTCAATGTACTCTCTGCACAAAAATGAAATATTAAGTCATATAGCGTACACGCAGGGGCAGTTCTACCCTGCCTGGTAGAGTAGCTATGAGTCAGACTCAACTCAATGGCAGTGAGAATCGCATAGACAAGTGTGCCTCAGAGATAGTGGGAGTTTGATTCCTGGTCGCCGCAATAAAGCAAGTCACGTGATCTTATTGGTTTCCTAGTGCATATAAAAGTTATGTTTACACTATACTGTAGTCTAGTAAATATACAACAGCATTAGGAAAATATTTTAAATATTGTGAGAATTACCAAAATGTGACACAGAGACTCCAAGTGATCACAGGTTGTTGGGAAAATGGTACCTGTAGACTTGCTGTACACAAGGTTGTCACAACCTACAATCTGTAATAAACTCAGTAGTGGTGAAGTGCAGCAAAATGAGGTAGGTCACACACCATGCCATAAACATATAACATAGTACCTAAATACAGCATATAGTTTACATTATTAGTGATAATAATAAAGGAAGCTTTTGTGTTGTTTCCAGCTCTTTTCTCTTAAAATCACATAAACTATTTCAAGTTTTCTATTATCCTAACTTGAAACCCAATTTTATTTCAAACAAAGAGTATAGCAGACATCACCAAACCTGTGATCCAAAGATATCCGCATATACACAAATGAAGTCTAGATTATAAGGAGAACTTGCTCTATGAAACAGGTGTGTGAGCACTTGACATAAAAGTGTGCTTGGTCTGTCCAGATGATCCCGATGGTCTTCATCAACTAGACGGGACCCCTCTCACCGCTGACGACATTGTTCAAAAAATCGCTACCAGGATCTATGAGGAAAACGACAGAGGAGTATTTGACAAGATTGTTTCTAAACTACTGAATCTTGGCCTGGTAAGTCATACGTAGGAGAGTGAGTTAAATGTTTAGTGCAGTTTGGAGTCTGCCAAGAAGCCATGCCACTTGATTCCAGGAGCCAACGCATCCACTTTGCACTCGATTCCGTAGGTTTTAAGAATAAGGAAAGTATCGTTCTTTCCATCCAGGAGGTTACAGTCTATCAGAGGAACTAGACCAACAACTCCATAACCAAACACAAACTGTGGAAGAGCCATAACAACAGTTCGGCAAGCAAAAGGCTGACTGATAGCCAGTTGGGAAGCAAGGAAAATCTTTAATTCAGTTTGGCCTTGCAATTAGCAGTTAGCGCTCAACTCCGCCAGCTGTCTGCTTCTGGAAAGATTTCCAGCCTCAGAACCTCAAAGGAGCAGTTCTACTCCATCCTAGAGGGTGACCATAAGTCAGCCTCTACTCGATGGCAGTGGCTTAGTTTCTCAGTTAGCTTGGCTCACAAGCCCTGACACAGGGACAAGCTTGCAGTCGGTGCAAACTTTGTGGCGTTTCAAAGGTGATCTACGCTCGGCAGCTGTGCAGGGGACAACCCTTCAGCTGTTCTGTGCTCAGCTGTAAATGTTCTATGGCCTCCAAGAGAAAGGACCGACCACCTGCGTGCTAGGCCCAGAGACGCTTCTGCGCAGGAGTGCCTCATAGCTCCTGTCGCAGCCCACACGTGTGGCAGCATCTATGAGGGTTCTTCGGAAGACGCAGCCCCTCTTTTGAAAAGATGTGGTCAGTGGCAGAGTTTAATCTCGATTTTTTTAAAACGCAAAAATGGAGATAGCTGTTACTTATGTTTCGCCTTTTCATAACAGATTACAGAAAGCCAGGCGCACACACTAGAAGATGAAGTAGCAGAAGTTTTACAGAAATTAATCTCAAAGGAAGCCAACAATTATGAGGAGGAGCCCAGTAAACCCACAAGCAGAACTGAGAGCCAGACTGGAAAAATACCAGAGAAAGTGGTATGTATATGTGAAATATATGTGTCTGTTATATGTGTATGTGTGTTGTGTTTGTGTGTGTACTTCTATCTATATACGATTAATACCTTACTTGGTACCAAAGATGATTTGGGGTACATGGCATTTTTACCCCACTTAAAATGTATGTGCATTAAATAATAATAAGTGAATTTATATCTAAACTCTCTCCCAAATATGAATGACAGGGGAGGCAGAGTTAGTTAATAGGCTTAAAGTGTGAGGCGGCTAGGAAAAAAAGAAATTACATTTTTTTTAAACAAATGGCCTTAAAACTCTTCTGTGCTCTCCGTACTTCCCATCCCCACAGCTGGCACCTTTTAAACTGCTTTAAGACCCACCCACTCAAAGAAAATACGAAATTCATCAGAGAACCCAATTGACATCCAAGCCGAACCCGGAGTAGCTAGTTCCATGATCCTTCTCTCCCTTTATGTCTTCCTTCTTCGCCAGTCTCTAAGATTTCCACATGCTTGACCCGTTCGATCATGTTATCTAAATGCGTGCACTAACCTATTTGTTCAACTAGTATTTATTATCAGCTGTGTCCTAAGCTGATGCTGTGCTAATTTTAAAAGACATAGTCCCTGCTCTTTGACGTTTATGGTCTAGAGCAGTGGTTCTCAACCTTCCTAATGCTGCGACCCTTTAATACAGTTCCTCATGTTGTGGTGACCCCCCCCCCACTCATAAAATTATTTTTATTGCTACTTCATGACTATAATTTTGCTACTGTTATGAGTCGGGGCGACCCACAGGTTGAGAACTGCTGGTCTAGTGGAAGCAGTAGATGGCCTTCGAATTGTCAACCTATTTTTATGACCAATGCATGAAGCTCTCCGAGAACAGAAATGAGTCCTCATAACAAAGGAACTCGCTCTGGACTCGAAGTCTGAATGGTGAACACGCAGGACAGTTGTAGAGAAGCAATGGACACAAAGACAGTGGTGTGACTGGCACAGAGGATTTTCAGAGACGAAATTGGAGAATTGGACCCAGGCCAGACCATGCAGGACTCTGTGAGATTCATACATGATTTCAGATCTTTATTGTAAGTGACAGGGAAATACTGGAAGATTTTAAGTAAAGGGGTTACATGATCTGATTGATTAAA